GCCACCCTGTCCTCCTCGTCTCCTGCTGCTGCTGCTGCTGCTGCTGCTGCTGCTGCTGCTGTTGCTGCTGCTGTTGCCAGTGGTTCCTGTAGCACTTAGACGAGTGCTGCTGCCACCATCAACGTCTGCTGCAGCAGATGCAGCAGCAAGAGATGAAGGAGAATCACCATATCTATCCTTCATGCTGCTGCTGCTGCTGCTATCCATAAAAGATACACTGCTGCTGCTGCTGCTGCTGCTGCTGCTGCTGCTATTTGCTGCAGCTGCCGTATGGGGCGCTAAAGAACGACTCCCGCTGCTGCTTCTGCTGCTGCTTGTAGAAGCACGATGCAGCAGACGGCGGTGTGTAATAATGTTTTGCTGCTGCTCTGCAGCAGCAATAGCAGCAGCAAGCTCCTCAAAGGGATCTGCTGCAGACACTTCTGATAGAATATCGTCCCTCTTTATGAGACAAATAGATACCTGCAGCAGCTCAGGTCCCTCACCTGCTGCTGCTGCTGCTGCTGCTGCTCCTGCTGCAGTTGGTGCTGCTGCTGCTCCTGCTGCTGCTGCACCTCCTCCTACTGTATTGCTGCTAGCACTTTCCTTCAGTGCTGCTGCACATCCCTCTGCAGCTCGATGACTGCTGCTGCTGCTGTTGCTGTTGCTACTACTGCTACCACTGCTTCTGCTGCTGTTGCTGCTGCTGCTGCTGCTGCAGCAAAATCCCCTGCTGCTGCCCCATGATGCAGCAAGACGCACAGAGACACCCCGTGGCCATTTAGTGGGGACACCAAGAGCAACAAGATGGCTTGTAGCACTCTCTAATACAGCTACCACCTGCAGCAGCAGCAGCAGCAGCAGCAAAAGCAGCAGCAGCAGCAAGAGCAAGGATAGCAGCAGTCGTAAGAGAGGTAGCATGCTTACTAACTACAGCAGCAGCAGCAGCAACAGCAACAGCAGCAGACGCTGCAACAGCAGCAGCAGCAGTGACTAGGGATATCGCAGCCACAAACGAAAGCAGCAACTGCAGCAGACGTGCATACATGCAAAAAGCAGCAGCACAACTGCAGCAGCAAGACTGCAGCAGCAAGACTGCAGCAGCAGGAAGGTTAATAAGGACTTATAGTTGCTGCTTCTCACCTCTCTATGGCTGCTGCGAGCAGCAGCAGCAACAGGAGCAGCAGCAGCACCATTTAGCTGCTGCACTAGCAGCCGCAAGAAAGTTGCCTTTAGGCCAGGAGAAGCAAACCATACAGGTTTGCTGCAGAGACAGTCCGGCTGCAGCAGCAACAGCAGCAGCAACAGCAGCAGCAGCAGCAACAGTTGCAGCAACAGCAGCAGCAACAGAAGCAGGGGAACAACTTGACGGCCTGCCTTTTGCTGTCAATGAAGATATTGCTGCTGCTGCTGCTGCAGCAGCAGCAGCGAATTCAGCAGCAGCACGAAGCTGATCATACGAAGCAGCAGCAGCAGCAGCACCAAGAGCAGCAGTAGCAGCAGCAGCAGCAGGACTCACAATAGAAGGAATATACAGCCACCAGCGCTCCTGTGAGGAAATCTGCTGCAGCAGCTGCTGCAGTTCGCTGCAGCAGAAGGCCGTCCTCTTAACATGCCTGAGTATGCAGCTGCTGCAGCCGCAGCCTGCTGCTACTGCTGCGCTGCTGCAGCAGCAGCTATGCTCACTCATCATTGCTGCTGCTGCTGCTGCTGCTGTTTCTGCTGCAGCAGCAGGCTCTGCAACATGGACAGCAGCAGCAGCAGCTGCTGCATCGGCTGCAGAGAGGTCCTCATCTGAACCGCCTAAATCTCTAAGCTGCTGCTGTTGCTGCTGCTGCTGCTGTTGCAGCAGCAGCTGCTGCTGTTGTTGTTGTTGTTCTTGCTGCCTTTGCTGCTGCAGTGCTGATCCTGCAGCAGCACCCGCTGCTGCAGCAGCCGCAGCTGCTGCTGCTGCAGCGTCGGGAGCCACCTGATCGGATTCGGCTAGTATTCTTGTTGCGCTGCAGGAAGCAGCAACAGCAGCAGCAGCAGCAACAGCAGATGCTGATGTTGCTGCAGCTGCTGGTTCGCTGCTGACGAATGATTCTGTCATAAGAAATAGAAAAGGAATGGCAATGCTAGCCACTCCTGCTGCTGTTGCTGCTGTTGCTGCTGTTGCTGCTGTTGCTGCTGTTGCTGCTTATAATACTTGGGGAGAAAGAGAGCAGGGATGCGGCCTCTACGAGTGCCGCTGCTGGTGGTGCTGCTGCTGTTGCTGCTGCTGCCGCTGCACCTGCACCTGAAGACGGCATAAGGACACTGTCTGCTGCTGCAGTCAGCTGCTCACAATCGGTCCTGCTGCCGTTGCAGCTGTTGCTGCTGCTGTTGCCGCTGCCGCCGCCTTTTCTGCTGCTGCTGCTGACACAGCCGCTGCTGCTGTTGCCACTGCTGCTGCTGCTGGCACTGCTGCTGCCACTGCTGCTGCTTTGCGTGGGCTCGAATTAGCATCTGCTGTTGCTGCTGCTGTTACTGTTTTCCCGCT